TCTCTCTCTCTCTCTCTCTCTCTCTCTCTCTCTCTCTCTCTCTCTCTCTCTCTCTCTCTCTCTCGCTCGCTCGCTCGCTCGCTCGCTCGCTCTTTTGAAACAGGTAACAGCCCACTGCCATCTTCCCACTATAGAACGCAGCCTTACGTAAGCTCTGTTCTTTCAATTTTTTTCCTTCTCTATTTTGGGTTATGGGGCAGAATAATAGAAGGGGCACGCTGCTCACCAGTGCACGTGCCGCAGCTATCGAGGACGAGGAGAAGAAGTGGATGAGGAGGCGGCGAAGAAGGAAGGAAGGAGAAGATCCTTTTAGGCATGTACTGTTCAGCATTCCACGTGAAACGGAAAATGAAGATCTGCATTCTCATCATATGCACGTGCATGGTGATCAGCATGGGAGCTGCGCAGCCGTTTCAAGTTTACATGAGCACTCTGCACTTCGAGATCACGCCCCATATCTGTATCTGAGCAGTGTAAACGCCTAGACGTAGAATAGTATGTGCTTGATCAGGAAAACACCTTTTGGCTTTCCCTTACTTTTGTCTTTCTTCTGTCTAACTTTTCTTCTCCCCTTCATCATATTTTTTTGGCTGGGTAAGGATTTCTGAACCTGCAGTCAGTGCAGTGTGCTGACTGTGGTTCTGCCTACCCCTTGGTTACCCCTCCTCCTACACCTGTTCCTTGTTTACGCATGCATGCATGATCGACCTTGGAGAATGGCGCAGAACGCACACAAAATTAATACTTCGTGGGAAATTGTGCAATTTACTACATCGTACGATCAGTACGATGTGTTGATTCTATTGACCAAATTTACAGTATTTCATACTAAGATGGCAAGATGTGAACAGTCTAAAAGAACTGAGTGTTCATATATTTATTGAGTGTTTCTATTGACCGTATTCATACACTCATTCCCAGATGCGCCATCAATGCGGACACAATAACCATCATAACAATCTCCTCCTGTGCATATGGGTACATCAAATTCTACTTAAAAGTTTGTCATAAACTTCACGGGGGGGGGGGTTGCTTTTCGGCATTTTCACAAATCCCAGGAAACCCCTTAGCCTCTTAACATTACACCACCAGTTGGATAGAACTTTAAGTGTATACTACTATACTACATTGAGTGGTGCTGCATGTTAACTGATCATTTCAAAACTTGAAAGCAATGCCGACTTTCTTTTATCAACTTTTATTACTATTCGTACAGTCATCCATCGTGGATGGATCATGGTGTGTGTTTGCAACCAGTCCATGCATCACCTCATTTCATTGCACACTGCACAGTCATTGCATAATTCATCAGCAGATGTGACAGTCAAGCACAAAAGATGGGAGAAACAGAAGAAATGTTTGGAAGTTCTCTACCCTCCTCTCAAGTCCCAAATCTACACAACATGTGGCTCAATGGTACATACTGGTATATTACATACATGTCATTGCCAGTGTGCCAGCAAACAGATCACTGAGCTCAAATCCTGATAGAAGCCCTCACTTCCACACAACACACTATAATTAGAACAAAATGCAATCAGAAATGAAAGTTTGGACTTGCTGACCAAAGAGATTAATTTATCGAAACATTAATATGATGGATCACTAGTTACGTCTTATGTACAAAGGGCATTATCACTGACTCAAAACATTCAGTGACTACGGAGTGTGGATCCAAGCCTCCAACCATGGATTATCAGCTGTATTTGCTGCTGTAATGGTTAGGCTGATCGGTGGACGGCCTGTAGACTGAAAGGCAGTGCTGTTCAGCTGCACAGTTGACGATCAGAGCAATTAGGAAACATCACGACGAGTCCCCCCCCCCCGGCTAGCCATAGCATCTCCTATCTAGTTGTGGGCATGAGCTGCCCAAAAGGAAAAAGCTAAGTACAGCTTGGTGCTATGTTAGTATGATGTTAGTGATGGATTAGCATGTCTAGCCTAGACATCTAAGATCCAGGGACGAAGTTCTGGGCGTAGGCCCAGGCGTTGTTGGCGACCGGGTCAGCCAGATGGTCGTTCAGGTTCTCCAACGGGCCCTTGCCGGTGACGATGGCCTGGACGAAGAAGCCGAACATGGAGAACATGGCCAAGCGGCCATTCTTGAGCTCCTTGACCTTCAGCTCAGCGAGGGTATCGGGGTCGTCGGCCAAGCCCAAGGGGTCGAAGCTGCCGCCCGGGTAGAGGGGGTCCACCACCTCTCCCAACGGCCCGCCGTTCACTCTGTAGCCCTCCACGGCGCCCATGAGCACCACCTGGCAGGCCCAGATGGCCAAGATGCTCTGAGCGTGGACGAGGTTGGGGTTGCCCAGGTAGTCCAGCCCACCCTCGGAGAAGATCTGAGCGCCGGCCTTGAACCACACAGCCTCGCCGAACTTGACGCCGCTGTTGGCCAACAGCTCGGGAGTGAGGCAGCCGAGCGCGCCGAGCATGGCCCAACGGGCGTGGATCACCTCCAGTTCCCTGTTGCGAGCGAACGTCTCGGGGTCCGCGGACAGTCCAGCGGTGTCCCAGCCATAGTCCCCGGGGAACTCTCCCGTCAAGTACGATGGAGTCTCACCGGACAACGGGCCCAGGAACTTGGGGCGGTCGGGGCCATACCTGCAAAGCACACACAAACACAAGCATAAACAGAGGTGTAAGAGCACGACAAACGGCCACCACATTGACTGATTGGAATGAACCCTCAGCATGCACAGAAGCGACAGCACAAGGAGCGAAAACACAGCGAACACAACCACAAGGCAAACATCATAAGAGCAATTCATCCCTCTCGGATGGTCGAATGGTACATGCATATAGCAACCAAACAACAGATCCAGCGTTGAAATTCTTTTGGGTGCAACGAAGTGACGTGCTACACCTTTAGGTGAAGAAAAAGGAAAGAAAAAAGGTGGGGAGGCGAAGGAACACACACACAGCAGAGCGTCAAGATGGAGGAGAGAATGTGAACCACAACAACATGCACATGCAAATGCACATATGACAAAAGGACAACCAACGTACGAACTCAATCCATCCATCCAATGCAGGTTTTAATTACAACTCCGAGCTGAATCAGAAAATGAAAGGTTCGGGCCGCGCAGAAAAAGGCTTTTCCTTTGTTTACTAAGCGACCAAGGAACAGCGGACGGTGGTTATCGAGTACCGAACTTGGAAAGTTTGCTGCCACACTTGGAAAAAGCATTATTTTTGGAATGAACCCTTAAAATTCAAATCGAACTTGACAGACCGTCTGCGGAAGGGGTATTGTCCTTACGGAGAGCGCAGTCCAGTCCATTGTCCACCACCGAGGTCCATATTCTGCTGAAATGGGAGAGCGAGGGAATCAGGGAAGGACATCTAGTTTCTTCGTTTTCCTTCTTTTTTTCCAAGTACTCAGACCGCGTTCCAATGTCGATTCCTTCGTAGTAAAGGTGTTGGAAAAAAGGAAAAAAGAACTCGATTTCCTGCCGGGGCAAGTTTGGCAACTACCTTCTTCCCCCGAATACAACGCACGGTCATTACAGCCGTATTTAGACTGAAAGATGACCCAAATACAGCTATAATGACCGTACGTTGTATTCGGGGGAAGAAGGTAGGTGCGAGTGGAGGCCAAACTGTCAGTCGGAGGAAGGTGAAAAAAGTCCGTCAAAAGACACTATTGAGACCACGACAAAAAGAAAAAAGAGACCGCGATCCTTGTTGCTGGCCATGCTTCTGCAAGGACGCTGTGCTCTTCGCTGTCTCGCGCTCACGGGCTGGTTTGCTCTCTCTCTCTCTCTCTCTCTCTCTCTCTCTCTCTCTCTCTCTCTCTCTCTCTCTCTCTCTCTCTCTCTC